CCAATCTCACTTCATCGGATGCTGTGAAAGGACATTCACAGAGCAGTATATCAAAAAGAGAAAGTGTTCTGAATACAAAACATCCATCAAAGATAAAAATATCTGGTCGCCTGCGGGTGCCCACTTCTCACAAGACCGTCGCTCCCTCTCCGATCTCTGTTCTAATCTTCAAAGGGGCGGCGGGGACTCGTTGCTGGTCAGAGGGATGTGCTGCTTTCTCATAAGAAAAGCAGGATGAGATCACTTTTGGTTGATTTTCTTGCATTCTGTTTCTCCAATTTACAGTTCAGTTTGATCGTCTGTGTGACAAAGCCTTTTTCTGTTTTATTTCCCTCTCTGATTGTCTGTAAAAAAGGTGCTTTTCAGAGCCTTGCTAATTCCAGGCATATCTCTGTTTGCAAAGCAAAGGTGACCACCCCAGAGGCTGGCAAACATCTTCCGCTGGAGCTGCAGGGTCTGGTCTGGGGCAGGTGAGAGTGAGGTTTGTTTCCACAGTGATTTGCCCTTCCTTCCATTGCTTCTTCATTTTCCTTTTGATTTGGAGGCATCTACGCAGCAGCTTGTGCAGCCCCATTGCTCTCCTGCCATTCATTGTGTGTTTCCATCATTTCAGAATAGCTTCTTGTTGAGCTTCTAGTACTATGTCCTTCAGAAATGGCCAACCCTACTGGAACCCTTTATCTTCAGTCTGTCCTGGGCCTTACCTACTGTTCCTCTTACTACTATTCCCTACTATATTGCCTACTATTCCCCAGAGTTAGTAGATTTCCACCCTTTTGAAATCCAGTATCGCAGTTCTGCTGATCTCCTGCCTTCCCTGTCTTTGAATCATAAATTCTATCATAACACGATCACTTCTTCCCAACTTTCCTATCACCTTGACAGCATCCACCCGTTCTTTCCTACTGGTCAGAACAAGATCCAAGAGAGATGATTCCTGCTGAGTCTTATTCTCAACTCTCTGGCACTGCAAGTTATCTTCTGTGCACAGCACAGCAGGACAAAGCCTGTAACAAGTTAAAGTGATGGCTTCTTCAATGGATCTGCCACACGTGAGAGGCTTCTGGGGAGGGCCTTATGTGGCATGACCCTCTGGGCCTGTATGGGGTATATTGGTGAACAAAACCTGATGCATTTGCAAATGCTCTTGGAGGAGCTGAAAGCTGCCAGTCTGCAACTGGACTCAAGACAGTGTAAGTTGTTCCAAAAAGGGGTAAAGTACCTGAGACCTGCAGTCAGCAAAGAGAAAATTTCCACAGACACAATACAGTCAAGGCTGTCACAACAGACCACATCCCCAACCGCTCACAGGGATGCAAAGTTTGGCTGAACTCTGCTTCAGTTACAGAAGGTTTCATTATGGATTCATCATATTGCAAAATCCTTGCATGCAATAGGTGAGGAATATAAACCATTGCAGTGGGAATGAGTCAGCTGAGTAACTCCATCTGGTCACAATGCCTGCTCCTGGTAAGGCATATCTGGGTTTCCAAACCTCTTTCATATGGGACACAGATGCCAATGATTATGGTTTGGTTTGTGGACAATATGGAAACCTAAGGACTTGGGTGAAGGATTATTGGAGCAAAGGTCTAAGCTCTCCTCAGAGAGGTGATTGTGCCATCTTATGAGGACCTGTTCTGAACGGTTATCTTTAGAGCACATTTTAGCTTGTGCAGAAGGAAAGCTGGGGCAAGGACAGGCCCAGCCACCTTGCAATGGCTTTGGAGGTTCAAGAAACACGAGAGGCCATGTGTCAAGTGGAAAAACCGCCAGACTCTGATTTCACCATCCTTCATAGGCCTAGGAGCAAGCTTGACCATCCTGATGCCTTGTCCAGGGAGTTTTCCAGCAGGGCTTCTTACGGATGCTGCTCTCAGAGGGAGAGCAAGGAATCTGCAATCCGAGGGAGTGAGTGTGGTCAGGGAGGAAGGGCGTCTCCTCTCTTCCCATCATTTGCAGAACAGAAGTGGTTCCTGGTACATCTCCTGGAAGTGGGAAAGCAGAAGTGCTTTCCAGATCAGTTGAAAGCTTCTAAAAGAGAGGACCCCAGTGTCAAAGTAGTCAGGACAGGGTGATGAATAGGCAACCCCCCTCCCAGTACCACACTACCTTACAACTTTCTGGTCATGGTTGGAAAAGCTGAAGTTTAAAGGAAAATATTACATTGGAACTGGGAAAAACTAGTGATTATGAATATGTCTCTGCTGGCTGTACCCAGTTCTGCCATAGGAGGCCCAGGAGACCCCCTGCCCCAACACTCATGTGGCTTGGAGGTAATGAGAGGAGCTCTGCTGACCAGTGTGCGCCAAAAGGAGAGGACCAGGCTCAGCTGCAGTTTAATGAAGCAGGTTGCACAAATGGCATGGTTATATGACAGACGATTAAAGGAGCTGGGACAAGTTTAAAGGAGCAGGCCCTCCTTTCCCAATGCAGACATCACATTTTCTGCACAAATTATCCACAAACAATTTGTGCAGAATTAATGGATGGGTGGGGCGGGGACCGGGGCTGGGATTGTGGGGTGGTAACAGTGCGGGTCCATGTGAGGAGCAGATCGTGGTTCTGCCCTGGGCCCTGGCCCTGCACTGTCACCATCCTGTGATCCCAGCCCTGGCCCCACTCACCCATCCTGCTCCGGGATGCCAATTCCTGTGGCCCCATCTCCTCCACCCAGCCGAGAGCGCCCTACCCACGGGAGTCCTTGCCTGACCACCCGCTGGCACTGTCTGGCACCCCTGGACCAGTTTAGTAATCTAACACTTAAGGAGTTTGGGTGAGTTGTTGGGGGGTGGGGGGCCAGCAACAGCTCATTAAAACTCCCTAAGTGGCCTTCAGTCCAAGTAATTGCCCACCCGTGGTCTAGCCAGAAACCTTACACTCCACAACTAAACAGGCACATACTTTTGCTGAATAAACAGACTGGGGCATGGGATAGAGTTTCAGGGTTAAGCCCAGAGTTACCCATATGGACAATGTGAGGAGGTTTCAGGAGACAGGAATTCAGTGTTGCTGTCCCCTGAAATGGATAATGTATCTGTAGGAACTGAGGCCAGGGACATGTCACGGGAGTGAGATCCTCCTTAGAACAGGATGAGCAGAGTCTCTTCATCAGAAAATTCGGCGGGACCTAGAGACACTCAACACTGGGTGGTTGAAAGAGGTGTGGAGAGGAGTGGAAAAGTGAGTTGTCTTTGTGGTGGTGATATGAAAGGTTAGCATGTAAGATTTGCAGCGTACCCAGTCACTTATTGCCTTCCTTCTGAATGGGTTTTAAAAGAGTCTCCATTTCTAGCTGATCGAGGCAATAAGTAAAGCTAATTTCTTTAAGACTAGTATGTCCCTTAGAGAGAGCTGCAAGTGACTGCAATGCACATGCTTGCACCCAAACCAAAGGCTGCTCAGGAGCTGAGATTGTCCGTGGAAGTATGCTGGGCCCATAACCCCTGGCGCTGATGATTTGAAGCCACCTTCTGGGAGATCACAGTTAACTGCTGGGCAGAGGTGTTCGAGGGGGAAAAGTGAAAGGTTTGTTACTGTCAACCGAGGAACTGTCCTTGGCTGACTGGCTGCTCATGTGCTCTAGGAAACAGGACTTTGTAACCTCCATGTAAACAGAATTGCACCAAAGATACCTGACCCCAGCTCCCCTCCTAACTGGACTGACCCATGGTGGCCAAGTCCTGCTGAAACACCTGTGTCAAAAGGGGGAAGAAGAAGGTCCTATAAAAACTTCATAAAACCCCAGTCAGGTGGTGTTATGCCTATTTCATAGTTGGGGAAATTGAGGCTATGGACACAGGAACACGTTGCTGTGAGTTAAATGCACGTTGCGGACAGTGCTACACATCATTCCTGGAAAACGCTATAGGTTAAACCGGAGAGATCCAGAGTAACTCGCCCCCAAAATACCCACTGGTCTGCAGGCTATCAGAAAGGGAAAACCCAGGTTCAAGTCCCTAGTGCAAGTGGAAGCAGAATGGTAAACTGGTTCCCCACCTCCTATGTGAGTGCCTAAGTCCCTGGGCTATGGTGTTTCAGGCAACCAGTTGTGCAACAGGGTTGACTGTGTCATTTTAATAGTAGAGCTAGACTGTTGTATCTATATCTATTGGTGTCTGCTCATCTCTGACTCCAGTGTATGAAGACCACGGCATATACAAAGAAAGACCACAGGACTCGGCGGTGAAGACTCAGAGGTTCATTGTCTTCTGGACACGGTGCTCTCCCTCCCATTAGCCTGGGGGTGGGCAAAATGAGGCCTCTGCATGTCCTTTCCAGCCCAACTTCTGTATGAGTCTGGGATAACTCTCCTTACGCATCGTGCAGGGAGCTCGAGCACCTCGCTCAGGGCGGTGTATTCCACTAGCTGGCAGGGGGCCTAACAGACACCAGATGGTGCCTAAACTTGAGGGATTTAGCCCTGAGCTTTTTCAGATGGGTTTTTCTTATTCTCTCCACACCTTGTTGTCATCTCCCCTTTGTTCTCCAGACAAACTGCTGCTCTTTCTCTCTGCATCTGGGCTTACTACATTGCATCTAGTCTGCTGGTCATTTGAGAAATGCATGTTTGCTGAGTTCTGCAATAAGGGCTTCCAGGGAGCTCAGTGCCAGCAATGGCAAAACTGAGTGAAAGCTTTGCAGTTAGGGTCAAGTCGGGGAAGCATTGCTCTTCTCAGGCTCTGTGTGGGGAAGCAGGATTCCAGATCCCAATTCTCCCTGTTTTGTCTGGAAGATCTGTTGCAATCAGCTGCACGCTAGATTTCCATGCAGCCGCTACTCTTGCAAACCCTTTCTTATCTCTGCACTGAAAGATAAGGTGACCGCTGAATGTGTCAGTTTATGGTCAAGTTAGGGATCATTTTGGGTGACCCTCATCATGGTGCCAAACAGATGACTAAGCAGACTCTGACCCCCACTGCTCAGCATTTTGATTAGCTACATATAGAGGAGTGTTTGGAGATGATAGCACCACCCTTTTTTCACTTTCAAAAGCTTGCTGGGCTTATTCTCTCCCACCTTAGCACCAAGCAAGGTGCAAGGCTTCAGCACTGTTTGCAAACAGTCTTTAGCTCAGATCTGGTGTCAGAAGAACTGTCTGGCCATGGCCATGGAAGAGTACTTCTCTGCTGTCCAAAAAATGGAACAATTGGTCTTGTTCCCCAGTCTCCTGAGAGGGGTTTTCGAGGAACAGGATGACACAGCCACTGCTGATTTTGGTGAAAAAGATTTGTATGAGCACTACCTCCAGCTGAAATCAATCAAACTCACCGTGGAGGGTGGCCAAGTCCCCAGAGAGAAATGCAAACTCCCTGTCACCAACAAAGAGGAAAAAAAAGAGAACAGAGGGGATGCCAATCTTGAAGAGCAGTTTTATCACCATTTTACAGGCTTGTACCATGTTCTGATGACCCTGACCAAGAAAGTCAATGCATTGACCAGAAAGTACAATGATATTATTGGAGAGATCAATCAGAATGATACCGTGATTACCTGGTGAAATGTCCGCCGTTACCTTCAAAGGTAAGACCTCAGAGAGATGGCATCATGGGGTGCATACACATATACTAATTTTCTGATGGTTAACTTTTTTAAAATCAACTTTAAAAAAAGTCGGGGGTCCAAGAAGAGTGGTTGTTCCTTAAGCCCAAAGGGAGGTAATCCCAACACAGATCAAAGGGGACAAGAGGGCGCAAAAGCCCCCATGGCTCACCAAAAGCATCCGGGAACATCTCTTAGCTAAAAGGGAGGTGCACACCCAATGGCAGGGAGGGGCCATCACCAGGGAGGACTATATCTCCATTGCTCGGGGCTGCAGGGGGGCTGTGAGGAAGGCCAAGGCGGAGATGGGACTGGGACTAGCGACCCAGATAAAGGATATCAAGAAGTCCTTTTTTAAATACATAGGGGGCAAAAAGAAGGTACCGGGTAACGTGGGGCCCCTGCAAGACACACTAGGAAATCTGGTTGTCACACCAGATGACAAAGCTAACCTATTTAACAACTTCTTTGCCTCCATTTTTCTGAGCAGAGACTGGATCACCCCCCCACTGGGATGCCTGAAGCCCCCAGGGGAGGCACACCTAGGCCTAGGGTCAGTAAGGATCTAGTCAGGGAACTTCTGGAGGGACAAGACATATTTAAGTCAGCTGGTCCTGATGATCTCCACCCCAGAGTGCTGAGGGAATTAGCAGAGGTCATTGCAGGACCCCTGGTG